TTTTTTTTTTATAATTCTTTTTACATTAGGAGAAAGTGGGTCTCGTGGTGAGAAGTGACATATGTCCTCAGTTGGAAACGAACTTTGGTGGCTACTTTACAAGGTTACCCTCTGAAAGCATGATAATAGCCCAGGACTATAAGACTCATAATACAGTTGAAGAAACTAAGGCTCAGAAAAGTTGAGCAACTTGCTCAATATCACCCAGTTATTGAATGGGATTTAGAGCCGAGGACCATCTAGCACCAAATGCTGCTTTCTTTGTACAACACCCCTCTGGACCTATGCAGCGCTGAGTTCTAGGCCTGCTGCCTGGACATGAGCCAGTCCAGGAATCTGGGAAAGAATGGTCAGAGGCGTAGCAGGAGAGCCAGGAGAGAGAGAATCAGAAAGTTAAGAGAAGAGAGGTTTGAGCAAGTGGGAATGACCACATAGGTCAAACTGTGCAGTGAGGTTAAGCAAGATGAAAGCTGAAAGTAGTTCATAGTGTTTCATATTTGAGACAATGTTGTCTTTAAAGCAGGGTCATCAAAATGGAGATAGTGGTAATAGGTGAGGTCACCCTGAGTAAGGAGTGGCTGGTAAGGAAGTTGGCAAAGCAAGAGACAGCTACTTTCTCTAGAAATTCAGATGTGAATGAAAAGAGACATCTGGGCAACGCTTAAGGACGAAGAGGGTTAGGAGACTGAATGCAAAACCAACCCTGATTATTCATCCCTCCCTTCAAGATATGACTTTGCAGCTCCTCCCATCACCAAGTAGAGTCTATTTCCTTGTTCCTGGGCTGGCCTTGTGACTTGCTTTCCAAAAGAGGGGGGGAGGGGGAGGGGAGGGAGGGAGAGAGAGAGAGAGAGAGAGAGAGAAATGATATTGTGCCAGTTCTAAAGGGCTTGGGTATTTCAGCTTTCTCTTTCTTAAAATCCCGCCCAGCCACCATGAGAATAAGCCCTAGCTGACTTGCCGAAAGCTGATCTGTGGCCCCGTCTCCCACTTTACCACAAGGGACAACCTGCTCATCGCCCGGCACTGAGTGAGATCGTCCTTGATCACCTGACCCGCCAGCCGGGCAGGCAGTACTCAGGCCCAGCTAAGTCAGTGCAGCCCGGCCCAGAGCAATAGAATTGCCCACAACTCATCAACTTGTGAGTAATAAAAATTCTTACTGCTTTAAACCACCATGTTTGGGTGCTTTGTTACACATCACTAGTTAACTGATTCAAGAGATAATTGGAAGGTTTTTATTACCTTGCTTTGGCCTGGAGGGGATTTGAGCATATCCGTATGTTGAGGGTTAAAGATAGATTTAAGATTCAAAAAAGGGGAAATGAGCGATGGGATGTGACCTCGAGCTCAGGTGGAAGACGAGCCTGGGGAAAGGCAGAGGCCTCCTGTGTTATCAAGAAGAGAAGGGAGTAGGGTGTCCTGGACTAAACCGGGTGCATTACGGGGGCTTCAGCCCTAAACTCTGACTCGGTGGTAGCTTCCTCAGCCGCATCTCTGGACATGCTCACATTAACTGTGGGGAGCCGGCACGGCCATGGCATACTCATGCCAGCTCAGCCTGGTTCAGTGATCCTGAATGGAGGTGATGAAAGGCTTAGAAAAGACAGACAAGAGAATGAAAGCGGGGTCTCGGTGGGACGCTGCCCCTCTGATGGACAGCGCCAGTGCCCACAAGCCGTGTCTTTATTTTATAGCTGATGCCACGAGGCAAAGTAAGGGCGTGATCAAGATGTTTATAGCATTCTCACTGGTTTCAACCCTACTCAACTACATGCACCTGAACTCTATCACTCAGGCACGTGGGGCCGCATGTTCAGACCACAGGCTCAAGCTTACAGCTATAGCTATTGGCTATAATTGTGCTGGGTAGGCTCTGCCCTCCAAGCTGGGACTTGCATGTGGCCACAAGAGGACTGTGCCCTCTCCTCAGTCCAAGGCTTGAACCTGTCCAAAACACTGTAGCCCCGCCCCATATTTAATATCCAGCCAAAATCTAGCACCCCAAACTCATGCATGTCCGTATCTGTCAAAGCTAAACGGGGCTTGAGACAGATTTGCTTTTGTTTCCACTGGTATGTCAAATGCCGCAGTGACGGCAAAGAGTAATCTTCAGCTTGTGTATAATGAGGTCTGAAATTTCCGTCTCCGCGCCTTGATCATGAATCTTATTTCACTAGATAAACTGACAGCAGAGTCTCGGGTACTTAAAATTTTGGGGGGTGGGGGGAATCAACACAACCACCCACATCTATTTTTTTCCCTGCTGTCACTTTTATGGTTCAGTTATTTTGTCTCTATGCATGTATTCCCAGTTTTGTCTGGATTCCTCAACAGCCAACTCATTCCTTAATCCCAGACATATGCTCCTCTATCCTGAAAAATGACTTAGTAGGAAGACAACTGGTTTGGGGAGTTTGGGCAGAAAAACTGAATTCTAGTCTTGATTCTGCTGTCAGCCAGCAAACTTACCTGGGCTATCACTTAGCCTCTGTTTCCTTATCTGAAAACTATGTTCCTCCAACAAATACTTCCTGAGTACCTACCATGTATCAGGAACTGTTGTAAGTGCTTAGGATACATCAGTGAACAAAACAAAGACCCTGCCTTCAGGGAGCTTACCTTCTGGACGAGTCAGACAATGGGAACAAATGCAGTCAGCAGGATGATAACATCATGTAATAGATGGTGAAAAGTGTTACGAAAAAAATTAACATAAAGTGGGGGTAGGGGCTGGTTGCCAGTTAAAAGGATCCCTGAGGAGGTGCCTGGAAGGAGGTGAAGGGGTTACTTACCATGAGGGTATCTGGAGGAAGAATGGTCCAGGCAAAGTCCCTAAGGGTATTTCCCCAGTCTTTCTTTTCCTCCACACCACATTTCTGCTTGTTGAGCTCAGAGAAGGTTTATAGGCCAGTCTTTGTACTATTCCATACATTTCTTTGAACAGTTCATCCCTTTGAGCTAGTCCCATGGGCATTAGGTGCAAGAGCCTATTGCCTTGTGTTTGTTCTCAGGGACCTCTGTGTGGGGTGTTCCTGCCACCCACAGGCTAGATCTGTGCTACGCCAGACACCACCTGGGTGTGTCCTCCTGCTCTGCATGGGGCCGCTGAAGCTGAAAAATGCAGATTAAAAAAACATGGCTCTTGATAAAGTAGCTCTCATTTCTGAATGCTTCTAAGTGCCAGGTGCCTTACGTTCTTTATTTCCCCTCCCAGCTCTCTTCGAGGTTAGCATTTCCCCATAAGAAATGGAGACTCAGTTTGTTTAGGAAACTTACCTACGGTCACGTAGCTAGTAAGTTTCATAGCCAGAATGTTATTCCCGATTGCAAGTTTTTTCAGCTATACCACGTGGCTTCATTTCTAAATACCCTTTAATCTTGTCAAACATCCTGAGGTCAAATTCCAGTTCTACCACATTATAATGGTGTGGTCATGGACAAGTTACTTAACTTTCCTGAGCCTTCATTTCCTCATTTGTGAAACATGTATAAGTACCCATCTCATAAAGGTATTGAGAGGACTCAATGACATAATTCTATAAAGCTTAACATAGTATCTCTCATGTAACTGCTAATATATGTTAACAATCATTCTTATGTATTGTTGATGGATTTTTAAAAGCACATATGTATGTTAAGATATCTCTGGAAGGGGAAGCTGGAACAAAAAAACCTCATTTTTCGCTTTGATTATTTGTACATGCTGTACACATTTAAATATTGAGCTATATGATATTACTTATTCAAGTAAACAATTAGATAATGTTTTAAAGAAATGCTGTTATTATCAGTATAAGGAATTTGTAATGAAGAAGCCATCAGTGAGGTAGATGGATTTGGAGGAGGTTTCTTGGAGGAGAAGAATTGAGCAGGGCCTTGGAGCCGTTACAGAGTTTTGGTGACAATGAAGAACAGGGAGGCATCTTAAGTGAAAGATCCTTGCAAATTAGAGCGTAAATGCAGGAAAGAGTAGCCAGTGAACATCGTCTGTTCAATGATAACTGTTCGATGTTCTGGCAACAACTAATCTAGTGACTAATCCAGGTGATAAGCACCTACGGTGGAAAAGAGATAGTATAAGTAAAACACTGCCAAAATATTGCACCTCACACGAACATTGAGGAAGATCGCTGGCGAGGCCGATTCCATGAGCCCTGCTGCCGGAATTATTCTGGTTCATCAATCCAAATTGAGCTGGAGGAACCTTTGACATCCCCCTCTCTCTGCTTGCAGGTCAGCGGTCTCCAGTCCCGAGGTCATCGCTCATCAAGAGGGGATAATCCCAAGGACAGCAGGACCTACTTCATCCCTTGGATTTAGGAGGGAGAAACCCCTCAGGCCACAAACAGTAACAATGACCCACCATTAAACACACCGAGAGAAGAGCGTGATGAGGAATTTGTACAAGAAAAGTCCAGGAGTTCTCGCTGGCAATGTCTGATCACAGTGAGCTCTGCCCATTGAACTGCAATAAAAACTCTCCCCCTCCCCAGAGCTGTGTGGATGTGGACACAGTTCAGGCAATGGGCTATGCCTGGATGCAACAGAGTGAAAAGAATTTGGACGGTGGGGGTCAGATAGACCTGGGCTTGAATTGTTATTCTACCACTTCTCTCTAGTATGCTTTGACAACACTTAAAAATCCCTGCTTCATTTTTTCTTATCTGCAAAAAAGTAGCTGAGACCTACACTGGGTCTTTTAAGAGGATCAAATACAACAGTGTTTGAAAAGCACAAGCTGGGTACTTCTTGTTATGGAAAAAGAGCAGGATGTGTGGCCAAAAAGGGAACCTACACATGAAAATTATTCTCAAACAGCACTCAGCTTCAGAATGGATGCCTATTGCCCGAGCCCAGTGGTCGGCAAACTCATTAGTCAACAGAGCCAAATAGCAACAGTACAATGACTGAAATTTCTTTTGAGAGCCAAATTTTTTAAACTTAAACTATACAGGTAGGTACATTGTTATTAACTTAATTAGGGTACTCCGAAGGCTTAGGAAGAGCCACACTCAAGGGGCCAAAGAGCCGCATGTGGCTCGCGAGCCGCAGTTTGCCGACCACGGCCCTAGCCTGTTTGGCTCAGTGGATAGAGTGTTGGCCCATGGACTGAAGGGTCCCGAGTTCGATTCTGGGCAAGGGCACGCACCTCAGTTGCAGTCTTGATCCCTGTGTGGGGGGCTACCAACTGATGTGTTTCTCTCACATCAATATTTCTTTCTCTGTCTCTGTCTCTCCTCCTCTACTCTCTCTAAAAATCAGTGTAAGAATATCCTCAGGTGAGACTTAACGAAAGAATTTAAAATAAATAAATAAAGACCATTAAAATAAAAACACAAAAACTAAGAGAGAGAGAGAGAGAGGAGAATGTATGCTTATATCTCTAGCTCAGATACCAGGAGGAAATGAGAGAGAAAAAGGGAAAAGCAGACAGTTAGATTCTGGCTCTTATATAAGAAAATTCATTCTAAATAATTTTCAGCGTTGCTCTCCTTCCTCAAGCACGGGGGCCACTGGGCATTATGCCAAAGGAGCCAGCAGCCTGGCAGATATTTTAAACTGATTTTGAGGCCGAACGACAGGCCATTTGTGCCATATGCCACTGACACGTTAATCTAGGCAAGGATGCTAGGCACCTGGGGACATCCATGTTGAAATGCCATTTAGGCAGGGCACACCAAGTCCAGTGGCAGAAGCTCATGAACACAAACAGTGGAGGCGGCCAAGAAGATAGAAGCGGAAAGGAGGAGCGAAAGGGAAGTGCAGTGTCAAAGCTTTGAAAGATTTTCTGAGTTGCAGGCGCTTCATTATGCTTCTAGGAGAGCTCCAGATTCAACAAAACATCAAAACTGGGTATTAACAGGCTGAGCAAAGGAGGGTCTGTGACTTTTGCACACATGCAGTACGAAGCCAGCACCATGACTCTTGTGTCCATGGGCAAATACCGGGCGATGCTCCAGTCCACCAGAATGACCTCTTTTATTCCTGCAGTTTCATTGTAAACAGCAAGCGGCTGCTGAGCAACTCTAGTAGAGGCCTCAGTATCCAACTCTCCAGGATCCAATTTGGTGGGAGCACTCTGGGCCTTTGGTCTCCCTCTCCCCTTTGCCCAGCCCTGTTTCCTGGTTGCTATGAGCAGTAATGAGCTTCTCCACCCCAGCATGTGGACAGGCGCCCAGCCAGCACATGAAAAAAGGCTGAGCTCATGTGGGCCAACTACTCTAACTCATGGGCAGATCACACATCTCCTTTTTTCCTTATTCTGGGATGCAATGATACTAATGATATTTTTTAAGTAGGAATAGGGAGCACAATGGCTTTCTGGGAAAAAGAAAGTCACAAAGCAGGGTAACTGCAAGAGACATCATAAAAGGAGCTCAGAATGAAATGCCCACCCACTCTTGTCATTGGATCAAATGATTTTGCAGCAGCAAAAAGAACATTCTAACTTAGGGGATCTTAATAAACAAATGGACTGTGTCAATTGTGTTCTTCCAAGCAAATGAAACTTTAAAAAATCAACTCTTCCTATTAATGCTAGTTAATTTTCATAACCAAAAGAATCTGAAAGATCATAAAAAATAAGATTTGGCCACGAAAGAATGAGGGCATGCCTCAGAATTCTCTGTGGTGAGTAGTTCAGAGTTGTCCTTGTTGAGTGTGGGCTCTGGAATCACCCCTTGATCCAGAGCTCTTTCACTTATTCAGTAATGACCTTTGGTGACTTAACCCCATAACTCCCCCAAATCTGTTTCTTCATCTATAAACTTGCACATAGTACCCCCATCTTACAGGGTGGTTATGGGAATTAAAAGAGAAGATATATAAGTAGCAAGGGGCATACCTACTGGCATCAGGGTATCTATATTACAGCGATAGGCCTGATTTTGAGAACTACATATCATTGATGTTTTTCAATGCAGAGACATTGCTCATTTGAATTCTTAGCAGAGGCTAAATAGATATTTTAATCACCAAATCATAGGCATTTTCCAAGCCTTCACCTCCAAAGCCATTGGGCTACCTTATGCATTAGAAAAGATTTGTATGAAGTAAAAGAGTTGGGTTTTTGCTCAGAAATAGCTTAAAGTCAGCCCTGAAGAATAGTAATACCACTCTTAATCTAAGACCCAATGTTCAGCAATGCCTTTGCTCTATGCACCCAGATAACCCATCTGAAATGAGATCCAGATACTCTATTGTGCTTGTCTCTTAAACTGTTTCCCTCTACCCATTCTTGACCGCCCCCCGCCCCCACACACACCATGCAGCCAATCCACTGAGCACCCAGAAGCTCCGCATAATGTAAGATGCATAACGTCATCTTCTCAAAAGCTGCTGATGGCTCCCTTTCTCACACAGAATGAAATACAAAGTCCCCACTCCACAGACCCTCATGGTCTAGGATCTGGTTACCCTTCCTGATCACATCTCTAACCGCTCTCCTTTGTTCACTCCCCTCCAGCCATACTAGCCTCCTTAAATAAACCAAGCACACTCTTACTTTGGAACATTTGGACTTGCTACTTTCTCTCTCTGGAATGTTCTTCCCCATATACTCATCAGGCTTGCTCTTCTACTTCATTTCATTTTCTGCTCAAGTGTCACATAGTCAGAGAAAGCTTCCCTGGTCTCTCTTTTTAAATAGTCACCCATGCTGCTATTCTTTAGCCCCTTACTCTGCTTTGTTTTCCTTCATAGGGCCTTCAAGGCTTAATTCCTAGTATAAGATGGTTAATGCAATGAGCTCCAGTCCCCACCTCTACAAATGGTCCCAAGACCATAATGGATATTTATCATCTTCATCTTCCACCACACACTCAAGACTTCCCTCGCTCTTATCCAACACCTCAGCTGGTCTAGGTTGCTTTCAGGGAGTAGTGATCCAGACCTGCATCCCCAAGGGGTCTGAGTTGCTTTAGCCTCTTTGGACTGAGGTTGCTGCAGTTCCCATTTACAGTTATAATCGGGCATAGAGTTATCACCAAGAGATGCCCCATTGAATCTCTATGTCCTAGACATACTCCTTTCTTCTCTATCACTTCCATTATGTTGTAGCAACCCGAGTTCTTCAGAATACTGGTAATCAGGGTAAATTGCCCTTAATAAAAATTCCACAAGTGGGTTGCTGAGAATAATGGTGAAAGTAACCAATCCTACTTCTACTCATTGATTCCTGGACCCATGTATTCTAGCTATAAAAGATTCAGCATTGCCAGCACTGGTTTGGCTCAGTGGATAGAGCGTCGGCTTGCAGACTCAATGGTCCCAGGTTCGATTCTGGTCAAGGGCATGTACCTTGGTTGCGGGCACATCCCCAGTGGGGGGTGTGCAGGAGGCAGCTGATCGATGTTTCTCTCTCATTGATGTTTCTGTCTGTTCCTCTCCCTTCCTCTCTGTGAAAAATCAATACAATATATTTTAAAAAAAAGAACCAGCACTGTTGGTTCTGTGTACATACTGCATGCTGGACGATGCAGTCCAGGCGCATTGGGTGTGATGCCCAAGCTCTCACCTTAGCTGAAACTTTAACCCACCATCCCATTATGCTACTGGGCTAGCTACCTCTGGGTGATGAAGTACATTGTAAGACCAATCAACCCCACGGTCATGTGCCCATTGTCACACCATTGCTTATTATTATGGGTCCCTTAATCTGAGGCAATGTTGTGTGGGATCCAGTATCAGTAAGGAAGATATTATCTAAGTACTCAGATAGTGGTGTTGGCCATAGTAATGAGATAAAGGAAGGCAAAACAATACCCAAAATAGGTGTCAATTCCAATAATGGAGTTGGGTCTGATATAATAAACTTGTTACCAACTGACTGGCTAGTCTCCTGAAGGATGATGCCTTGCCTGTGCTAGCCTGCACTGTTGGCAAGACCTATATCAGCTTCAGTGAAAGGGAGTTGGTGCTGTTGTGTCCATGCCTAGGCTTTATCCCTGACACCCTGGTCAGGCCATTCATGAACTCATTGCTCAAGGAGTGGCCATGGAGAGAGGCCCTGACATCCAGAAGACAAGTCATCCTCTCTATTTGATTGTTGACACTCTGTTGATTCACTGTGAAGGATGCTCATGCGAATTTACATGAGAATCAGTCATCCTCACTCTTTATGCCTTTCCTTGTAAGTCCATCCATATGCCTCTTCCCCAAATTTCCTTATAGAGAAAGCCTACAAAAATGGACATTATCAACTGATCATCACTGTGGGCCATTGAGAATGTGTCTCAGAATTGTCTGCCAAAGGAGCAAAAGAGAAGCAACTCTACCCATCTGTTGCCATCCTTATTAGTCAAGAGTAGCCTGAAGGGCGTTAGTCTGTCTGAGAGTCTAGGTTTGTGTGGGTGTGAATGCTAAGCTGTTTTGTGTAGATATCCAACCAGATTATCAGAGAAGCTCATGCTAGAGAGGATAAAAGACTCATTGTCAAACTGAGACACAATGCTTGTCTATTTATTCTTTGGTTGCTGCAGAAAAGTTGGAATAAAAGGTAGGCCAAGAGGATATGAGGCAAAGCTGAAAAGGTGTCTGATAAACCCTCAAAGCCTGGTGAGGTAAGCCTGATTGTAAGAACGTGTTAAATTATGTATTTCATATCATTAGATAATAGGATGTTTAAAAATATGTGCTAATTGTGTAGTGCTGTCAAAAAGGCAAAAGTTGTTAGAGAAGAAGAGATCAATGTGGGCTCCAGTTGGCAGGAAATAAGCTAGAGCCTTAAGGCATAG